ACTAACTACCACAGAGAAAAATTATTCTCACTTGGAAAAAGAAGCTTTAGCTATAGTATGGGCTTGCGAACATTTTCATTTATATTTGTTTGGAGGAAAGTTCACCATCGTCACTGATCACAAGCCGCTGGTGAAAATATACACAAATCCATCATCAAAGCCATCTGCGAGATTAGAACGATGGGCCTTGCGATTGCAACCATATGATTTTGAAATCTGTTTTCAACCTGGAACTGAAAATCCTGCAGATTTTCTCTCACGTCATCCCTTATCTGATGAGAAGCTAAACAACCGTCAAGAGAAAGTAGCAGAAGAATTTGTTAATTACGTTACACAGAACTCGGTTCCAAGAACAATCAGCAGGAAAGATCTGTAAATCTACGAAAACATCAAATAATCATACCAGAAAGTTTACGAGAGAAAGTAGTGAACATTGCTCATGAAGGTCATATGGGAATGTCAAAAACGAAAGCGTTATTACGTGAAAAGGTATGGTTTCCACGTATAGATGAGTTAGTTAATGAAAAAGTTAAATCGTGTTTAGCCTGTCAGATTACAACTCCAGTCAGTGAAAAGGAACCATTGAAAATGTCAGAGTTGCCAAGATCTCCTTGGAAAGAACTAAGTATGGACTTTGGTGTAGCTCCTACAGGCACAGGTGAATATTTGTTTGTTTTGTATGATGATTTTTCCAGATATCCCATTGTAGAAGTAATCCGATCAACGTCCGCAAAGACTGTTATACCCTGTTTGGATAAGATACTTTCGGAGTTCGGGATACCAGATACGATACGTTCAGACAATGGACCGCCATTCAATAGCAAGGAATTTTACGAGTTTTCAAAGTATTTGGGATTTAAACACAGAAAAGTTACTCCTTATTGGCCACGAGCCAACGGGGAAGTGGAAAGATTTATGCGTAATATCAAAAAGACAATAAAGGCTGCGATAATGGAGGGAAAAAATTGGAAGCAAGAAATCCACAGGTTCCTGCGAAATTATCGTGCCACACCTCATAGTTCGACCAAAACCTCTCCATCTATGGCTTTATTCGGTCGGCCAATGAAAGTACGTTTACCTGAAGAACCATTTTATGAAGATACAGAGGAAAAAATTCGAGTACAGGATGAAAGAGCAAAATTGAAGATGAAATTACATGCAGACAATAACAGGAACGTAAAGACAAGTGAGATTAAAGTAGGTGATATGGTGTTAGTAAAGAAAGATACGACCAACAATAAACAACAAACACCCTATGATGGTAAGCCATGTGAAGTCGTGGAAAGAAAAGGTTCAATGGTAACAGCGAAGAAAGATAGAATGTTGCTTACTCGTAATTCGTCATTTTTCAAGAAGATCGAAAATGGGAAAGGTCTAGAAGAACCCATTGAGGAAAGTATAAAGGAAAAAGAACGGCGGTATCCTTTGCGTACAAGAAAAGCCCCTATTCGATACGGACAAGTTGAAAGTTAATATAGAGATAGCTATAAAAGAAACAATTAATATTTTCATATATGAACTTATAGATACAAAATACAAAAAAAATATATTTAATTAGTTTGGGGAGAGGTGTAGTATAGTTATTATTCAAATTATTAGTATTTCGTACGTCATACTACGTATATTATAATTAAGTAATGATCTGTATATAAGTAACATGACTAAGCAATAAAAGGGAGAAATCTCACAATATTACAGCTAGTTTTCGGCATATATAACCATGGTCGTAAAAACGTTTTGTTACAGAGACACTGTTAGTTTAAGTTTAAACGAGAGATGAGAATGCTAACAGTGTTAAAGTGTTTAGAAGAATGTGGTAGAAATATAAGTATGCTAGTTTTCGGCATATATAACCATGGTCGTAAAAACGTTTTAGTACAGAGACATTGTTAGTTTAAGTTTAAACGAGTGATGAGAATGCTAACAGTGTTAGAGGGTTTAGAAGAATATGGTAGAAATATTAAGTATGCCAGTTTTCGGCATATATAACCATGGTCGTAAAAACGTTTTGTTACAGAGACACTGTTAGTTTAAGTTTAAACGAGTGATGAGAATGCTAACAGTGTTAAAGTGTTTAGAAGAATGTGGTAGAAATATAAAGTATGCCAGTTTTCGGCATATATAACCATGGTCGTAAAAACGTTTTAGTAGAGAGACTTTGTTAGTTTAAGTTTAAACGAGTGATGAGAATGCTAACAGTGTTAAAGTGTTTAGAAGAATGTGGTAGAAATATAAAGTATGCCAGTTTTCGGCATATATAACCATGGTCGTAAAAACGTTTTGATACAGAGACACTGTTAGTTTAAGTTTAAAGGAGTGATGAGAATGCTTAACAGTGTTAGAGTGTTTAGAAGAATGTGGTAGAAATACAAAGTATGCCAGTTTTCGGCATATATAACCATGGTCGTAAAAACGTTTTTTCAGAGACACTGTTAGTTTAAGTTTAAACGAGTGATGAGAATGCTAAAAGTGTTAAATTGTTTAGAAGAATGTGGTAGAAATATAAAGTATGCTAGTTTTCGGCATATATAACCATGGTCGTAAAAACGTTTTGTTACAGAGACATTGTTAGTTTAAGTTTAAACGAGTGATGAGAATGCTTAACAGTGTTAGAGTGTTTAGAAGAATGTGGTAGAAATATAAAGTATGCCAGTTTTCGGCATATATAACCATGGTCGTAAAAACGTTTTTTCAGAGACACTGTTAGTTTATGTTTAAACGAGTGATGAGAATGCTAAAAGTGTTAAAGTGTTTAGAAGAATGTAGTAGAAATATAAAGTATGCTAGTTTTCGGCATATATAACCATGGTCGTAAAAACGTTTTGATACAGAGACACTGTTAGTTTAAGTTTAAACGAGTGATGAGAATGCTAAAAGTGTTAAAGTGTTTAGAAGAATGTGGTAGAAATATAAAGTTTGCCAGTTTTCGGCATATATAACCATGGTCGTAAAAACGTTTTTTTAGAGACACTGTTAGTTTAAGTTTAAACGAGTGATGAAAATGCTAAAAGTGTTAAAGTGTTTAGAAGAATGTGGTAGAAATATAAAGTATGCTAGTTTTCGGCATATATAACCATGGTCGTAAAAACGTTTTAGTACAGAGACACTGTTAGTTTAAGTTTAAAGCTGGTGCATATGAATAACATTCTTATATTTATAACAAGTGATGTAAATAATTTTTACAAGTAACGACGTTATATATAATTATTACTTTTGCAGAAACTATATGGGTAACTATGAAGTAACATTTTGTACAGATAAAACTATTCATAAAAACAAGTTTAAATTTTTCGAAAAACGAAACTATAACGCGTTACTAATGAATAACGCGACTAAGAGTGAGAAAATAGTGTTTGTAGGCTATTTCTCTCTCAGGATTGTATTTAACAATGCGTAACATATTCCTGTGCCAAATATGAAGTTTTGTAAAAAGAAAAAGTTATCGTATTCCATGTAAGAAACCACGGAGACAAGAGGCTTAATACACGAATTTTACTGTTCAGCAGCTTGGCTATTGTACATATTGAGCGTGGGGTACAATTTCATGTTGTATCCTTCGCACCATCCTACACATAAAGGACAGTTATAAATCAACAAATTTTGTGAGAACATAAAAACGGCCATTTTTGGATCAATAAGTTCGCCTCAAGTAAAATAGGAAGAGTATGGCAGTTTACCTGAATGATTTTTCCAATGAAACTTATCAACAACAAATTTTGTTTTCTTAAAAAATGCTGGATCTCGGTTCAAACAATACTCGTGCAATCTGCAGGCATTATCGTAAATGACCAACTCTGGCGATAAAGAAATAAAAATACATATGCATATCATCAGGCACATTCGGTTATGTTACTCCACTGAAAACTCTGTCAGGCGACTAAACCGTCATGCAATCTGTCCGATTCACTGATAATACTCTGTTTGTAGCACCATAAAAGGTACACACATACGTAACTTACCATCAGGAAAACGTCTTCGTAAAACGGTAAATGGGATATTTGGTGATTCGTGATCCCTCATTATTTCGAATCCATAACATATACCTGGAAACAAAAACGAAGGCGCAATGTCACTTACTGCAATAGTAAAACAAATTTTCGTTGGCGCTGTTCATCATGTAAATACCGTGGGGACAAAGAATACAAAATATTCCAGGGATCAAAGTGCCATGCTTCTTCTTGGGTCTAGTGACTTTGGCACAATCTCCCTGCTGTGTCTTCCTATTGTCAAGAACATAATTCCCTCGTTGAACCAGTTCTGGCAGACAAGGTATATATCCAATGGATGAATTTTGAGACACCGCAGGTAAGTTGTGTGGAAAACGCCACTGACCGTCCTTGACCTCGAACGGACTTATGGCCTTTTGTACCAATTCCTTTAGCAGCGGTTGAATAGTAATAGGAATTTCTTCGCTAGTCTCAATGGCGTTAAACAGTAGGGGCACTTCTTTATGAAGAAGTTTTAAATCAGTCGAAGGATTGTCTTTTGGATTGGCTCCATCAGACATCCTTATCAAGAGGTCCAAAACTTCTTCTTTGGGGGGCACAATTGCGCATACTGGTTTGTCAGAAGCCAATGCTGCCAATAACCTTCTGCACGAGTTTGGACAACTAGTGATAAATCCTTGTCTCTCTAACCATTCTAGTAGAGTCCTAAGCCCCTATGAAGATATATATAAATACGAGAAATTGTAGTATAAAATGAGCTCTGGAGTGGTCATACAAAATTTTGTACTCGTGGGGTGATAAATTCTTCTTACTTCAGATTTTAATTCTTGAAATTCGTCCCAACTTAGCTTTGAATCACTGTACTTCTTCAATAAAGCTCGCACATTTCTCCTGTTGATGAAATTGCGCATTTCAAACCTAGTATTGGACAAAAGAAAACAGGTTGTTATTTTTATAACTATAAGCTGTGTACAAAAACAAAGTGAGAGAAGTCACAATCATGCATAAAATGCTTTCGGATACGTATATGAACACTCGTATTTACTAATTAGCAGACCTGTATATACTATATATTACAGATAAACTTCAAAAATACTTATCTTCCATCTAGCAATCCAGTATCAGACTCTCTTAAATTATTTGGTAAGAAAGTTTTCTGTATTCCAAGAGTTGTTCCATCCATCACCACCTTTTGGGGAATTCTTCCCCATAATTCACAAAAAAACCCATTGTCAAAACAATATCAAGCAACCTTAATAAGAGAAAATTCAATAACTTAATAAAAGCGATCACTATCTCAATGGAATATTCATATTTTACAGCTGAAAATGAAATGATGCTTACCGTATCATGGCAATGATAGCGAGACGAAACTTGGCGTAAGTTACTTCCTTTGGGAAATTCAAATTACCCGAAGACACTTGCCTTTGTACATATGCAACATAATATTTGTACATAGGTAAACTAATAAAGAAAGAACATTCAAAAGAGATAGGGCAAAAAAAGTGAATAATGGAAAAACGTAGCTACTAATGCTTCGGCAAATTTCCATTAAAAAGTACCTCGACGTTATGAAAAGCCGAATGTAATCTTTTAGAACGGCATGAGATATTGCATATGATCCAAACCATACAATCCTGTTTTCAATGCCATCATAATGCTTTTTCGTAGCACAAGAGGAGCAAGGTCTACAATACACTAAATAATTTATTTAAGTCAAATAGTTATGAAGTGAAGCGTAACCTATAACAAATCAGAACTTACCCTTCACATCATGGATTGAATAAAAGTACGCAACTGAACAAAAGTCTACGTACAACCATTCATCTTGAAAAGAACGTTTATCCCACTCTGCACCACAAGAACAAATACCACTTTCAGATGGCGCCAAAATTTTATGACCATTTTTTTCAGGAAGATCAGTAAAATCGCTTGCATCATTCTAATTACCTAAAATAATTAAATTGTAATACTTACAAAATGCTAGAAAGTACTAAATACCATACCGATAAAGGAAATAGTATATGTAAAGCTAAAAGGATGTTCACCATTGCAGATTATCTTGCATACCTGTTTCAAATAAAGAAACCTTTTCTTTGCTAAGTGTAGCCAATTCAAAATAGTCTCGCATCTCTGGTGTAATTCCAAAGGAAAACTTAAAAAGTGCCAATGGAGAATCCATTTCATCCTCTTCAACGATTTGCATGGCTTTTGCAATGGTTGTCACATGAATGCAATGATATGACGAACAGCTGCAACATTTTAACTCAGGCTGGGGCGGCGTTACTTTTGAACACACAAAAGTACAAACCCCCCATGGACTATTCACTGGTTTTGCAGCAATCCACTGAACCTCCCTGCACACTGCACTAAACAAGTCCTAAAATATGTAAAATCATTTATCTTAAGATTGTATTATGTGTGTGTATGTATGTGTGTGTATGCATGTGTGTGTATATGTATGTATGTGTGTATGTATGTGTGTGTATGTATGTGTGTGTGTATGTATGTGTGTATGTATGTGCGTGTATGTATGTGTGTATGTATGTGTGTGTATGTATGTGTGTGTATGTATGTGTGTGTATGTATGTGTGTGTATGTGTGTGTATGTATGTATGTGTGCAGATTTATAATTATGAATAATTATGACTTCACAAAATCCTTAGAAAGTGCTTAATATATATATCAGGCAGGTAAAGCAAATGGTGAATATGACTTTACTATTTTTATCATACATTTACTTTATACTACGTAATGTATGTACTTAAGGTATGTGGCTATTTATGTATGTGAGCATGAATGTGTGTATACCTCAATAGTCATAAATAAATTCAATTTGCCCTGTTGGTTACCACCCTTATAGCTTTATAGAAGCTCCTGAACTTAGGCACAGGATGTATGGTAACAAATTGTGGGGTATTAGAAGGTTGAGAAACTATATGTGTATTTGTACAAAAAAGTTATTTTCACATAACAAAAAATACTTCTTCAGGTTGCATCTCATGGTAGGAATGATCACTGAAAAGAGACTACATCATGGATGTGGATTCTGCATTCATAAAAGAATTGGATGAGATAAATATATTGTGTAAATAATCATTCACAAGTTTTAACAATATTTTTGCTTGTAAAGCTGTGCTGGTTAACGTCCACATGTTATAAGAACAATGTTGAACAAGGGTCTTGTAAAAACACAGAAGGATGATTTCACAAGGGTTTGAAATGTACAATAAACTGATATTTAAGGATGAAGACATTTCCTCCCATACCACATGAAGAACTTTACATTGAAAAATAAGCCAAATACAAATTTGAGACATTCACTACATGCAATGTCAGATTAATATGCAACAAGTTCTCACATCTTTGACAAGGGTCTTGAAACAAATAGTATGTAAGTGTAAGTCAAAATTTGGTAAAGCTGTTCAGACACCTTATATCCTGAAAGAGTAACACACAACACTTACTTTTTTCAATAAAATCTTTGGCTTCAATACCAAACTTTCTATCATACACAACCAGATATTTTTACATTGCTAATATGTGTATGCAACTGGGATATGGTATATCTGACAAGTACAAAAATGTTGTTTGGCCTGTTTTAATCATTTCATTTCAGTAACATCTATTTTACATACCTTTTTGAGGATCTAATTGTATATTATTAGGTAGGGCTTCAACAAATTGCTTTCTATTTGCATCACATGAGCAGCAAAATATCCAACTGTAGCCATCAAGCAATAGATGGGATATCGATGCACAAATACAAATGAATTATGCTGAAGAGAAAAAATACATGCAGATTATAGCACCAAAAAGAGTATTGAGCAATATCATTTAGTTGGGTATATACCCAATATTGAAATTATGGAAATAAAATTTGACATCACCATAATTGTTCTTTTGTTTGCATTATAATCATGAACAACAAAGGATTTCTGACATGATACATTTGATGCAAAGTCAAAGTGTAACAATAAACAAGTATAGTAGCCAGTGGGTGAAAATGACTCCAAAAGAGCAAGTATTCCATATCAGAAGTCCTGAACATCATCAGTCACGAGAATCCACTGTGGAAACCTAAAAACATAATGGTTGATTTTTCATTAGCTGAAACTGGAGCAATCACAAAGTGTTTTCCAAGTAAGACGAAACAAAGCAATAGCCTTTTTTGAAGAAAATGTTTTTGACGAACTTACTTACTTAATGAATGGGTTTTTTTTGGGTTAGAAACACACATTCATGTTTGCAATTTTCATCGAGAGAAGGCGTGGAACGAATGGATTAATAAGCGCAGTAATGGAACGTATCTTTACAAACATGAGCTATTACAACTGCTGCGAAATATTGCAAATAGCACAAGTCAAATCGCATTACAGAAAAACATTGATGCATTGAAAAACAGCCATCTGTGGAAAGAATCATTGCAACTGCAGAAATACTTTGATGAATTTTGGGAATTACACTTGCAGGTATTAATCTCTTCTATTTTATGCGTTTTAATATCAGTACGCTAAACTGCTCAAAACTGATACTACCTATCTAACCTATGTGTGTCTATATATATATATATATACATTACTTTTCTAGAAATGGGTCCGTTTTTACAGGGATGAATCGTTGCGCGTTGCCATTTATACAAACAACGGAGTGGGAAGGCAAAATAACTGGTTAAAGCATTCATATTTAGAGGACAGACGAAATCATTCAATAAGTGATCTCGTCAATATATTACTAACACAGTTCCTGCCTGATAGCTACAAAAAGTATTGTGCATACTGGTTTTTTTATAAGATGTTCGCAATCAGTGAGCTTTAACGATAATCAAAAAAGTATAAGTGTACTTACAATTTTCTCTTGATAGATATAAGGAACAGAATATCAAATCATCCGATTCATACAAGTCCTACAGCAAACAAATCCCAAAGTTCCTGCACAATAGACCAAAGTATGTTGTTTCTCATATTATTCAACGGATGGAATCTGACATTCCAAGTAAAAACATCAAGATGGAAACGACAAAACATTTCACTGTCACAAGCTCATCATCCACATATCAACGACTATTCCTGCCAATGTCTTGATTACAGGAGTCGGAAGATGCCTTGTAAACACATCTGTGTTGTTGTTCAACAACCAAATGTTGGGTGGGAATCAATTGGAGTGAAGTTTTCCAATCATCCCCTATTTACTTTAGATCCCCATATAATTCAACCAAAAGCCAATATAAGCCCAACTCAGACTGATATCAAACACAAGTCACTGCCAGGAAACTTTGCGCAATGTCCTAATTATGAAAAAGCTCATTCTTCTGACTGTTTTCTTACCACAACAGATTATTGCTCCAACTCAATCCAAAATGTTAGAAATAAGTGTGTTCAAAAAGTCAAACAAATTCAGGATGAGCTTTACATTTTGGATGATGAGAAAGTTTTGGACAAAACCCTGGAGATGTTACAAGAGGTAATACAATACACAAGAAAAAATCATCCTGAGGAAAATGGAATTTCATTGAAAAACAAGTCTTTATCTCCAAAAAAGAAACAAATATCAAAGTGTAGGTCACAATCTGCTTTGCCAAAACGAAAATGCAAGAGGTGTTCAGGTAAACGAGTGGGAAGAGCAGCTGATTAAAAAAGTGAAAAGATTGAAGTATTAGAAGAGAAGCTTGAAAAAGAAGAGAAGCATGAGAAACGCAAATTACAAGTAATTGAAGAGCAACTAGCAAAAAAGATGAAAATGAACAACAATGAGAAAATTGAAAATTTTGAGGAGTGTTGGGTAGATATTCAAGGAATAAAGTTGTCATATGCTCAGAAAGACGTGCTTCTAAATCTAAATGGATGGCTTTCAGATGACCATATTGATGCAGCACAGAAATTAATAGGTGATCTTGGTACCGGAGTGGGAGGTCTGAACACAGTCGTAGCAGTCACATACAGTAACAAACTCATAAATATTCCTGAAAATATCACCCAAGCAATTCAATGTCACAATATTGGTCACCACTGTGTGGTTTCTACATCCATAACTGATGTAATAGTAGTCTTTGAATCTATGAGTACGAGCCTGAATTCATCATTAAAAAGGCAACTCCAGAATGTTTACAAAAACCTTCAAGAACAGGATGGTTCTTTAAACGTCAAAGTGATTCTCCAACAACATCAAAAAAGATCATCAGATTGTGGTCTTTTTGCTGTGGCAAATGCAGTTGCTTTGGCTAATGGTGTGAACCCTTGCTCTGTTACCTGGCTGCAGGAGAAGATGTGAGTGCATCTGGTCAAATGCTTTGAAGAACAAAAAATCGAGATGTTTCCCCACATTGAGAATGCAATGCAAACCTGCCATTCAAAAAATGATATTCTGTGAGAATGTAGTAATTGTAAGCATCTAACATAAAAATAATCATGTATCGCTTCACTTTTGCTTGCAAACATGTACACTGTAATTGCTCAAATTGGAACCCCTTGACAAATCATGTATGTATATATCTGTAAATAATATTAAACAAAATTAACATTTTCTATTTGTGAATCATGGACATGGTATTTATTTTTACAACTAACTGGGGACATATGACTAATACTGTCTAGAAAATGTAGAAATAATAAATTTACCTTAGCGAGCCCGGAAGATAATTTGGTCGTGGTATGTAAATTTGATATTATTATCAATAAACATTTCTTTAGAAATCTGTTGTTTTTACAGTTAGTGAACAAAGAAATAATTGTATAGCAGAGCTAAATAAAACGGGCTGGATACGCCACTGTTACGTTCATTGTATATTGTTCATTGCTTCTTCGAGTATCGTTATGATGATTTAAAATCGTTGAGCATGTGACAATATATGTAAAATACAAAGAATACAAAACAATAGATGTGTAAAAAAGTAAAAATGTCCAAACCTGAAACCGAAAAAAGAATTCTTCTCGTCATTTAGCCGCATATCGGTTAAATACGCATATGAAACTTGTTATTCTCAATGGTTATTCTATATTTTAGTGGTTTGTCACAGCTTATAGGTAATTACCAATGGTAATTTATGGCAAGCCAAACGTGACAAAAGTGTATTGAGAATTCCAACCGCTAGTCGAGAATATCAAGCGATGGTCTATGGGGCGCGAAGTGTTTCTTTATTATTTACGAAATTTTTAATGTTTAATTTCATTATTTATTAAATAACCAAACGTAATAGGTTGGTTATTTCAAATAACCATTTTTTGGACCAGCATAAGTTTGGTTATATCAAATAATCAATTGACAAAATTTGGTTATTTAATAAATAACCATTTTTATTTCGGCGCCGATTTGGTTATATCAAATAACCAAATAATTTTGTTACACTTGGCACACTTGAGATGACGTACGTTCGTGTTCTACTTACCCTCTCCCGCTGTGGAAAGTTATGAAACATGGCTTCCGGTTTAATATTATACACTGATTTAAGGAGAAAGCGCGCAAAACAAGGCATGGCGGATAATAAAAATGATATTTCGAGAAGGCTGACAGAAGCGATAGGAAGGGTAATCATGCAAACTTTGGGTACAAGAGAGGTAAATGAGCGAGTTATTTCGCATTTAGTTTATATCAATCCAACAGTAGTCTGTCTTTGTTTATTTGAAACAAATTTAACAGATAAGCGTTGAGCACGAGACAAATGATCCACTGGTCATTCAAACCTGTGGCTTGCTACATAAAATCAAAGATATTTCGTTGATTCAGATTTTAAGTATTTTTCTCAATCTGCAGGCATCAACGGCTGATGACATCCCCAGCCAAAACAGTTCTAACTCTAGTTCTATTACAGTCCAGCCTGTCCAGGTACGTTGACTTTTTACAGCTGACCCCTGGGTTACTAACTTACTATGTGCCTGGTCACTAGAGATGCTTTCCAGAGACACTCGTTTGTTAACATTTTTTTATTTCTCAAAGTTTTAATTCACATGATTAAAAGGAGCAAAACATAATTGTGATATACACAATGTGTTCTCTGTAGCAAAGAATTCCAGCTCAAGGTATATATTTATAATTTGTTTTGCCATCAAGGTTAGGGTTGATGCTATGCTTGTCAATGTTTCATTTGATTGTTTAGATAGTAATGACTGAAAATATACAAGATTTACATGAAAGGTATCATTGTATTCCTCTAAATCATGTTTTCTTTGAGATATACTTTTTTCTTTATGCACATAAATTTGTGCATTTTAATGTTGGATATCTCAGCATATGAGTTAGTATCCTCAATAGTCAGTTTATTGATAATTATCTTGGTATAGAAAGGACATATAAAATGCAAGTTGTGCTTCTTTTCTTTAAGAGGTGAAAATGATATTAACAGAAGGGCTGGCCGACCTAGGAAGAGAGTTAACAAAGAATATTTGTTGAACTTTCTTCAACTGAAAGTTCCTATATGTGATATTGCAAGACATCTTTCAGTGTCAAGAATTACCATTTATAGATATATGGAGGAATATGGAATATTGACTAAGTGAAACTGTTGAAGTAAAAGATGGAGAAGATGTGGTTACAGCTACGGCTGATTCAACACTTGTTGCTGACAAGGGATGTGTATGATTTAAAACAGTTTCACTAACAGCATCACTCTTTTCATCTTTAGGTTGGTTGCCAATTCCTTTTACACTCTTTCAGTAAAATAAATAATACAGTCATTAAAAAGTTTTGAGAACAGTTATGACCATTTATCTCATATATAATTTTTGATTTCTACTACAAGATAATGCCTAATACCTCAATGAGATCATCACAGTCATCATCATCTGAGATGAAAACAGTCGATACAGGATTGATTTTAGCCATTATGTAAAGACATCCTTGGGATGAATTTGAGATGACTTCTGGCCCATTCCACACAAAAGATCTTGATATTTGTGGGAAAGTCAACTGTTTTGTCCCCTTTGTTACATCAAAACACATCTTTAATAAGTACATGTTTTCATTGTTTTGTTTTCGTTACATATAACTTAACTTAATAGCAAAATTACAACAATGAGCAATGCAAACACCTTATATTCATGAATGACATACCCCAAATAATCATATGACAGAACTTCTCCTGGCTGAAGGTTAAATGCCCTAGAGAATACACTAGAAATTTCTTTTGCAACTTCTTCGGCCCCCCAGGCAGAGTTAATGGAAACTTTCCCTATCAAGCCCATTTCTGCAAGATGTGCTCTTTTATTCCCTCGTGGAATAGGAATGTTGAAGGTTTGATCTGTTGGTGGTAAACAAACAACATCCTTAGTGTAAACTTTTCCTCTTTTAGGAAGGCATGCAGAAGATCGTTTTCTTTTCTTTCCACCAGTTACTCCACCAAAAAGTGAAGGCAGTTGCCTTGTCTAAGAAGTAATTTAAACTTTTAATAGATTGCTTAATCATGTTTGACTTTTAATCCCAAACCATAATATACAAAGTAAATAAGACATTGCTTATGCCTACTGGCATTGACAACAATTCAACTCTGGAAACTCATATTTTGGCACTGCAAATTACTCATTTGGCGACAACATAATATAAACTCCTGATAGCATACATGTGATAAATGTAATGTGGTTATTAACATTGCCAATGTTCATCAATGAATATCTGATTCACATTGATAATTTATTATAAAAAAGCTTACCACACTGAGGTGACAACTTGAATTTGATGTCTCCAAATATGTTTGAGCTGGAATTCTTTGCTACAGAGAACACATTTTGTATATCACAATTATGTTTTGCTCCTTTTAATAATGTGAATTAAAACTTTGAGAAATAAAAAAATGTTAACAAAAGAGTGTCTCTGGAAAGCATCTCTAGTGACCAGGCACATAGTAAGTTAGTAACCCAGGGGTCAGCTGTAAAAAGTCAACGTACCTGGACAGGCTGGACTGTAATAGAACTAGAATTAGAACTGTTTTGGCTGGGGATGTCATCAGCCGTTGATGCCTGCTGATTGAGAAAAATACTTAAAATCTGAATCAACGAAATATCTTTGATTTTATGTAGCAAGCCACAGGTTTGAATGACCAGTGGACATTTGTCTCGTGCTCAACGCTTATCTGTTAAATTTGTTTCAAATAAACAAAGACAGACTACTGTTGGATTGATATAAACTAAATGCGAAATAACTCGCTCATTTACCTCTCTTGTACCCAAAGTTTGCATGATTACCCTTCCTATCGCTTCTGTCAGCCTTCTCGAAATATCATTTTTATTATCCGCCATGCCTTGTTTTGCGCGCTTTCTCCTTAAATCAGTGTATAATATTAAACCGGAAGCCATGTTTCATAACTTTCCACAGCGGGAGAGGGTAAGTAGAACACGAACGTACGTCATCTCAAGTGTGCCAAGTGTAACAAAATTATTTGGTTATTTGATATAACCAAATCGGCGCCGAAATAAAAATGGTTATTTATTAAATAACCAAATTTTGTCAATTGGTTATTTGATATAACCAAATCGGCGCCGAAATAAAAATGGTTATTTATTAAATAACCAATTAGCGTACAATTGGTTATTTGATATAACCAAATCGGCGCCGAAATAAAAATGGTTATTTATTAAATAACCAAATTTTGTCAATTGATTATTTGATATAACCAAACTTATGCTGGTCCAAAAAATGGTTATTTGAAATAACCAACCTATTACGTTTGGTTATTTAATAAATAATGAAATTAAACATTAAAAATTCCGTAAATAATAAAGAAACACTTAAATGAGGATATGATCTTCGCACTTTGCTGGACAATTTAAGCAATCGTCTCAGGACCTGAAAAAATCAGGTGACTCAACGGGATTCGAACCCATGACCTCTGCGGTGCCGGTGCAGTGCTCTGACCAACTGAGCTATGAAGTCACACAGTGGTGAGCAGGTCAATATTGTTGGGCTCTTGTAGAAACACTTCGCGCCCCATAATGGTCGAGAATATTAGGCGATGGTCGAGAATATTAGGCGATAGTCGAGATTTATAACAGTAACAATGGTCAGCGGACTTAGAAGTAAACTTCATGATTTATTTCATATTTATATATCGAATTGATCATTCTGAAATAACTAAAATGGCGGAAAATAGAAATACAAACATTATAGATCGAATTCTGGAAAATTTAAACGAACTTTCTTCAAGAATTTCACCCCAAACAAGTGCTGAAACAGAGGCAGAAGTAAGTCACATTTTCAATTCCAATACAGCTAGACGGCGGTCTACATCAGTTGTACCAACTACGAACACTACCGAACAAAATGTGCCGAGGAGGAGTTTTGTCACGAGGCGAAATTTTAATACACAGCGCCCATCTGCTTCTAATCGAAGACAGATTAGGGAATCTAAAAGAAGGCCTGGTGCTATAGATAATAGACCATTCTTACGCGACCTTATTTTGCTGGGAGGACCGAATGCTTCTGTCGTTCCTCGTCAAGGAGCACGCCTTGCTCTTATGGAACGGGGTCACATGATCTCAGGCTGCAGATTCACCAAGGCAATGAACGCTGCACAAGTGGAAATTGCCATAATGGAAGCTTTTGCTGACAAAATTCCAGCTGGTGTGGATATCGAAATATTAATGTCGATGCACACATCTCTTGTTGTGCCATCTTTGGCTCATGGTCAGATTGGCATTGATGGAGCAATTTTGCAACGGCTCTTTCAGAGTAAACCGGTGTATGTGCGACCAAACAAACAGATCATAATTGAGCATCAGGTATGAGTTTCTGTTGTCCTCTTATCTATGGAACTTGTTCAGTTTATTCATGGTTTAACAGCTGCATCAGCTGTTTTACTTGCACAGGTGTATGTTGATGCACCATTTTCATGCTCTTGATTGGAAAAATGAAATAATTGACGTTATTATACTCATCATATTTAAATTAAATATGCTGTCAATGTAGGAAAATGTGTGCACAAGAAAAAGTCATGATGATAGGTAATTCTCTTTAATGGAGAAATTTAATTAAATACACAACACAGGAATAGTTTGTGAAGTCCCTCTTGTATTTTTAATAAAGATTTACCTGATATTTTTGGTGATGTGCAAATGTCAATAAGCTCTACCGACGCCAATCAAGTGCCATTGGCTTTGCCTCAAGATACAGCACAATCTCCATTTTCACTGCCTCAAGAGACAGCACAAGCTTCTTTACAGTCAACCTCTGATCTTCATGCAGATGTTGTACAGGATACATCAGGTTAGTTACATTAAACATATTGCCACTATGCTTTATCTTATTGCTGAATCATAAAAATTTTTTTACAGCACAATCTCCATTTTCACCGCCTCAAGAGACAGCACAAACTTCTTTACAGTCAACCACTGATCTTCATGCAGTTGGTGTACAGGATACATTAGGTTGGTTGCATTAAACATTATATTGCCACTATGCTTTATCTTATAGCTAAATCATAACAATTTTTTACAGCACAATCTCCATTTTCATTGCCTCAAGAGACAGCACAAACTTCTTTACAGTCAACCACTGATCTTCATGCAGTTGGTGTACAGAATACATCAGGTTAGTTACATTAAACATATTGCCACTATGCTTTATCTTATTGCTGAATCATAACAATTTTTTTACAGCACAATCTCCATTTTCACCGCCTCAAGAGACAGCACAAACTTCTTTACAGTCAACCACTGATCTTCATGCAGTTGGTGTACAGGATACATCAGGTTAGTTACATTAAACATTATGCTGCTACTATTTTTATTGATGAATCACTACAATTTTTTAATAGACAAAAAAGTGCTTGCCATAAAAAATACATGTTTACTTAAAGACACGTGTACTTGATCTGATTGAAAACCGATTTATTTTAGTCTGTGCTTAACTGTTAGATTTAGAAGCAATTTATTCTGTGTGGTAATAAAGGCTAGTTCTCACTTGAGATATTTCATTAGAATTCAGCCACTGCAGTAAATTACTGTAAATCGAATTATGTCATATAAAAACCAGCCTTTAGAGGTCTTTTTAAGATCAGATGAATAAAGCTTCTATGAAATTTAAGGCCATTAAAGGACTGGAAACAATTTTCATAAACTGTATTTTGACAGGGGGTAAAAGAATGTACGAATGAAAGTGATTTTTGCCATAGAACACTAATAGCATCACCTTAACAATTCTTATAAAACAAACAAACAAACAAACAACATTTGTATACCGGCCAGTATTAGACCGGTCCATGAATTTAACAATTCGTATATGCCTAGTATTTTCTTTTTTATTTTTATGTTTATTGTATGATTAAAGCTATAGTTGGCTATTGTAAACATTTCTTTTTTTCTTGGATTCTGCAACAGTAATAATTTCTATAACATTTTTTAAAGAATAATGAGCTAAAAACTTATAACGATGATTTTGTTTGGGGGACTACTTTTTTCTTCATCCCTTGAAGATTATCAGTTTACAAGACAAACTTTAATCTTAAACATGAAAATATTAATTGGCAACTGAAATTACAGTTTCTGCACAACAAAATCTAGCCCCCGAATATAACATTACATATATAATTCACCTGACTTTTGAGAGACCTACAACTATTAAAAATACTGAATTGTTAATGTGTTTAGCAACAAATGTATGACAGGATTTTTTTATTTTTGTCTCTTGCTTCAATATTTATGTTTCTAACTAAATATGTAAGTTTTATAAAGGGCCCACTTTTTGTCCACCTTCTTTACCTATATTTGGGGTTTTTTTACCCATCATAAATATAATTTAAATCTGTAGAAAGTATATATTTTTAAATTAAATAGTAAATCCTTATGTGTTATGAACTCAATTTTCATCTAGTGATGCAAGAAATTCACCTCGTTGACGAAGATGACGATTTCATGTTCCAAAATCATCCCAAATTAAAAGAAGTAATTGTGCACCGCTCAATGATTCGCCATGATATTATTGATGTTTTCAAAGATCCAGAATTCTTAAGCACAGGTTGAACATCACAGTTATAAATGCAAATGGCTACCCAGAAGAAGGAGAAGGTGCAGGTGTGCTGCGTGATGTTCTGACAAATTTTTGGCATGAATTCTTTATATCGCTTAGTGCAGGTGGAACTGAGAAAACGCCACACATTCGACACGATCTTCAAAAACCAGAATGGCAAGCAATTGCCAGAGTTTTAGTGTTTGGATATGAAAAAGCCAAATATTTTCCTGTGCAGCTGTCACAATTCTTCATCCTTTGCTGCTTGTTTGGTGAAGAAAGTCTGGGCAAAGAATCTCTACTGCAAGCATATCGTTGTAACGTGCCAGCAGACGATCGAGAGATTCTAGATAAAGTGCAGAGTCGTGAATTAGATCCTAACGATGAAGACCTATTGGAGTTTTTGTCATCCAATAAGTGCTATAAAGCCCCCACTAAGGAGAACATTGCCTCCATAGTACTTGAACTTGCACATCAGGAACTCATTCAAAAGCCCAGATACATCACAAATTGTTGGTCGCCAATTTTAAAAACTCTTCAGAATGATGCAAACTCCATCTTTTCAACACCACAGCAAGTTGAACAGTTATATGAAGAAAAACAGCCAACAGCCAAAAAGGTTAACAAGCTTTTTATTGCTAGTGTGAATACTGATACTGAACGGCAGAGCTTGGATTTCCTAAAAAGATATGTGAAATCATTGGAAAAGAAGGCTCTTGAAAGATTTCTGCATTTTTTAACTAGTAGTGATGTATTGACATGTGATTCAATTGAAATTACATTTACAACCCTTCATGGTTTTTCACGACGGTCTATTGCCCACACATGTGGGCCAACCCTAGAGCTACCAACAACTTATGAATGCTTTGCAGAACTGGCAGAAGAGTTTACAAGCACAATGAGAGAAAGCACATCATGGTCATTTGACATTGTGTAAAGTTGTTTTTTATTATTTTTCACAATATCAAATAGTTTTGTTTAAACAGAAAGAGAACTGACAGTTTTGAAAAAAATGTTAAATTCTTGATCAATGAGCTTATTTTTGGCTTGCACCATTTTACTAAAATACATTTGTTTCATTTGTTAAACTTCGTCAACATTAATCCTTGCCTCTAAAAACCTCTCAACAATATGAACTGTCTTCAAGTAATGTTCAATGCCATTGTTCCCATCATCTTCAAGAGGGTTAACTTGTTGTTGGAGGTAATCATACTGATTTTCGCTTAGTTACATGCTTGAAACAGGTATAACAACATTGTTTCTTGTGGCAACAGGTAATGGCCCCCCATAATCAATTCCACATACATCATCATTTATTGTTAGAGGCTCATTCGGAGCTAAGTTAAAGTTTGAATGAAATAAAGCCGAGGGAGTTTGATGATTTTCTGTCCTAAGACCATGGTGATTCCACTGTGATTTGAATTCATGCAATGATGCATTTATACGCACTAGATAAACGTAATGCAATGCCAATAGATGAATTTCATTAAGGGAGCTCAATAAACCATTGTTCTCTAAAAATCGAAATATGTCTTTGTAAAGTGCTGACATCACTCTGTTCACTTCAGCCCATAATCGTTCTATTCTTTGATTGTGCACACTTTTCCAGCTATGAAGCTTCCCCTGTCATTGCCTCGATTTTCTATCATAAATCGTGACACATCAATATTCTCACTGCCATGATCACCTCGTACACGAGAGGGTAAGCCAAACTTCTGCACTCCACCTTGAAATAATTCAAGGACAGTGTCGGCTCTGTTATTTGTGCAACAATGCAGGTAAACAATCATTCGGCTGAATCCATCTATGCAACCATGGATTACAAATCTTTGTGCGATCAGTTTATGGTTTGAATCAATGTGCAATAAATAATTAGGACCTTTGACATTATAGACACGCCTGCAGATTGCATAACGTTTCCGAATGCTTCTACCAATTTGATCAACCCTCTGAAGACTTTCTCGAATTCTAGTGCGTTGAACATGAATACTTCTGCCCCTCAAACCACCCCTTATGTACGTTTCACCGCTGTATGGTGTTAACTGAAGAATTTGTCTAACTTCTTCATCCAAGTCGGCATCAGTAATATCTGAGAAGCTTTGCTTAATTCCAAAGTCGATTCTTCTCCTGTGTAATGTTCTGGTAGAAATTCCAAGAAAGCTAGCAATGTTCGTCCAGTTCATTCCCGTATCACGAAGTTTCTCAACTTGTTCTTTTCTGATATTATAAGCTGGTCTACCTCCAGTACTTATAAGCGTATCAATGGCAAGCGAATTTTCATTCGTGGACAATTCCTGCTCGAGACATGTCTCAAAGGCACGCGACAGTTTCTCCAGTTCCTCCTCCATTACAGTGATCAAGTTCTCCAGCAACATGGCAACATCATCAGAAGAGGAATCACGAGATGAGCTTGTTATTGTGTACTCTGAAACAGCTCCGAACATTGCTGCGACAATAGATATGTAGTTTTCAAACTTATTTTTGCAATATTCGATACCATTGCGTCTTTGTTTTGAAATACTTGAAGACTTTGGCCAAACAATCTCTGTAAACCAATAAAAAAATCTCTGAGTTCTTCAATGTCCTCGTCCATGATTGCGAGAAATTCCTGAATTCTTTCAAAGTACATCAAGTATTGCCAGAAACAGGAGTTTACTACTAAGACCGCTGACCATTGTTACTGTTATAAATCTCGACCATCGCCTAATATTCTCGACCATCGCCTAATATTCTCGACCATCGCTTGATATTCTCGACCATCGCTTGATATTCTCGACCATCGCTTAATATTCTCGACTAGCGGTTGGAAGTCTCAATACACTTTTGTCACGTTTGGCTTGCCATAGTAATTACATATATATGAATATTCGTCATTTGTTACTTACCGCTGACATATTAAGAATAATATGTGGGCGCGTACGTTAGTTGACCATGATCTAGTGCCGACCATCTAGACCATAGATATAGTAGGTCTAGATCATACATTTTAACATACATAGGTCTAGATCATACCATTTTGTATTTTTATTACCAGGTCACACTATTATTTTCCCTTATTTTAAAACTTGATATTTTGAAATCTTATAGTGACAATAAAACTCTCTGGTACAAATAACGTTGAATTGCATACAAAATCCCTTTCTTTTCTTTTTTCCCGGGTGGGCCCCCAATTGCATAACATAAAATTGTGGGTCTACTATATCTATGGCTGTCTCACAAATCATGTACTCTGACGTTTCAAATCATAATTGACGTCATTTAAGGGAACCGGATATGTCATAATAATGAAGGGAATATTTTATAAATAACGCCTCTCATCTTCTAAATGCAGTTTCAACACTTACAGCAGCCTTTGAACCTGACCTCTTGTAGTCGTAAATCTCAACCAACCAAGCGATATGGGAGAGCGCGTCGTTGTAATTACAAGCTGTTCAACAGGAATTGGTCTGTCGACTGCAGTTCAACTGGCGAAGAGCGAGGCAAAAAAATACATAGTCTACGCTACGATGCGCAATCTTGCAAAGAAAGGACCCTTGGTTGAGAAGGCTGGCGATACTCTTAACAAGAACTTGTTTATCATTGAGATGGACGTGAAAAGTGAGTCGTCTGTTAAAGCAGCAGTTAAGAAGGTCTTCAATGCTCGTGGAAGAATTGATGTCCTCGGTAAGTGAAATATATTTGCAGATTGGCATTATTATGTCGGTTTTGATCGTTTTACTGTTTCGCATTTATTGTACACGGAGCGAATTTTGGAAAGCTATCATTTCATTTGCGAATGACAAATTGTTAAGTGTACAGGATTGTACGATAAAACCCTAACATGACCTAACATATGGATGTTGAAGTAAGGAAATTGGAGAACTAACCTTATTAGTTTTATTGAATATGTAATCACCTACTTCGATAGCCACTCTTCGCCCTTTATGCTCTAAACGAAATCTCTTCCAACGGAACAGGATTTCATTTGGAGGTATGATTCGGGCTTTGTAGTAAAGCTCTGTCAAACAATAACATAACGGTAATTATATAAAGCCTAATTGTACTCATTCGGATTATGCAAAATAGAAATTGCTTATTATAACGAGGATAAATCCTTGTCATTATTTGGCCATTCGTCTGAGTGTAACAGAATTGGCTCAATGTAAATATTAACAATGTTGATGTCAGTAATTAAAACGGAAATTATTCGTTTTCGCAACGCCATTCTACCAGTGCATTCCAATGGGAGGGAACATGAGAAGGTCAAGTTACTGGTTGAGTGGTAGTTATTATGTAAGGTCAAGTTACTGGTCGAGTGGTAGTCATTATATATGGGGTGCCAAATTGGACTTTATTCTAAACTTACAATACAACATAACATACTAAAATTATACATGGCAAACTTTATATACTTCGAGAGAAATCTAAAAAATATATGCGAAACTTTTCATATACGTTCGAAACTTCTTGTATCGCATCGTCAAAATTTATAGCGTTCCAATTTTCATATACGGTATGGCGAACTTTTTACATCGTATTCCAATTTTCATATACGGTATGGCGAACTTTTTACATCGTGTTGCATAATGCTTAGCGATCCCACTCTGGATTTCATATGAATTTAAATATATTAGTGCCCAGGTCCCAGGTTTTTAGAGAAGTGTATTGTTTTGATTTTGACGCCGCCATATTGACAACATGTTTGCATTCGACATCGTGCTATCTCGACTTTAAACTTAATAATTCAATCAAAATAAACTCTCACTACATGGCTGAAAATACTGGAAACTTTCGGGCTGCTTTATCAAATCTTGCTCAGGAGGCGCGTAATCTTCTGGATAATTTCGATGATAGAAATACTTTGACAATTTCGCTGCTTTAGAAGAATCATATCATTTTACCCTTGTTGTTACGTCATATCTGTTAATGAAAGTACAAATTCAAGATAGCAAAAGCATTTTGATTGTTGCTTAATAAGTTGTTTTTATTTCAATGTATTTACTCGGAAATTGAAAGAGTTTCCAATGTTTCAAATGTATTCCCTAACACAGATGGCAAACTTAATTTTTGTTGCCAATTCTTACTGTAATAGTCGACATTGTTTGACAAATTGTTCAAATTAGTGCGGCATATCTACGTATATTATTACATGAATATTACAGAGCAATCTTACACATAGTTACTGTGTGACTTGATATATACTTCAATTGCATTGACATGCGTGATCATCAGGGGCGGATTATCTGGGGGTGGCAGGGAACTTTTCATTTCAAAAGCAATTATATATTTTATACCACCACCATTTTCAATCGAGTATTACCATGTGCGTTTTCATGAAAACATTAAAGTTGAATTAATTACTAAGTGCATGCTCAGACAAAAATTATACAAATTTTTTTTACAAAGGTAATAACATTTTCTTTATGCAAGTGGTTCACTCTTCTAAAAATTCTTAAAACATTGTGTTAATGGCATTCACAACATGCATGTACGTGTGAACTTTGTCAAATAAGTTGTTGTTTTGACTTGCTAAAGCTGCAATATAGGCAAACTGATCTTCAGTTAAATTTAGTGTTGTTTCAGGTACAACCACACCAGCTACATTTTCAATTTCATCACGTGCTTCTATTTCATATGATTCAACTTCATGGCTTGATAGTACATTGTCTAAAGTTGAGTTGCTTTGTGTTGCACATCTTACAATGCTTTCTGACCAAAGTTGCAAAGGCGATAGCCCTCCTTCAGTACTGATTCCATGGTGATTCCATTGATTAACAAACTCTTGTAAGGACTGATTAATGACTGTGACAAAAACAAGCTGTAGTGCAAGAAGATGTACCTCATTGGCAGGATCAAGAAGACCTGAATGTTCCATCATGTTAAATTGATCAATATAAGCCTTTAGAACACCAGTAGTAACATCTCTATGAAGCCTTTCAACTCGTTGGTTGTGAACTGAAGCACCTGTGATGATACTTCCCCTGTTTGTTCCACGGCACTCCAACATCATTCGAGCAACACCCACGTTTTCAAGTCCATGATCACATCTCACTCTTGAAGGTAATCCATATGAGCGACATGCATCTTGGAATAATTCTAAAACTGTGTTTGCTTTGTTGTTAGTAGCACAGCTTAAATATGGTATCAACCTGGAGTAGCCATCAATGGATGTATGAACCACCATTCGCCAGCGCAGGGGCGGATCTAGGATTTTTCAAACATCAGTCATAAAACATCGGAGGCGCTCCGCATATAGGGGGGGTCCGAGGCATTCTCTCCTGAGAAATTTTGAATTTCAGAGCCTTAAAAATGCCATTTTCAGCGTTTCAGAGCATTACAAAATGTATTTTGTGGGCATCGTTTTGCATAAATACAACACATTTTGGTTACGTTTTTCCAAAAAATGAAGTGAACAATACTTGAATGTTTTGCCAAATATTTAGCCTCATTATAATGCCAAATATATGGCTCATTAGCATGTCTAGGAACGTAAAATTTATTTTACAATAATGCTATATTCAAAACAGATATAGCCTTTAAAAATTTCTACCAAGTTGTCAGGCATAGACCCCTAGAGACCCCATTCAAACCTCTATGTAATGAGTTAAGTTAGAAATTTGGTACTACAAGTGACAGTTCATAGATATAGAAAAGCTCAGACTTCAAACCATGCAAGTTTATTGTAACCCTTTACCCATCTCCACATCAGTATTAGCAAATTCACCTTTTGAGGAAAAACTCAAAATTTTTTTCTGCCAAAGCTTAAGCAAAATTATCAGAGTGAAAATTTGCAGATAAGGACAGCTGAATGCCATAAATGTTTATTAGGCATTTCACTTGACTATTATCTTCTTCAAGGTGTGCTATATAGCAATCACTAGTAGCATTGTATTATCAATTACAAACAGAATGTAACCAACATGTCTTTAATTATATAATTACATGAATGTTAAAATTGGTTCATGTGTTATGCTTACTGGTTATGATAAATATCATTTCATATGATCAAAGCTCGTTTAAATGTAAATCTGAAATAATTTAGTTTAGAAATTATAATGATCATCACAAAAATTACCTAGTGATCATGAAAAATACTTTGCTGTTTTGCCAAATTTCAAGGTTTATCTGCATACATAGGAAGACATTTTTACTTTATAGAAAATGCTTTTCATACATCAATAGCCCTTTGGAATTTATGGCAAACAATCTGGTATGAGCCGTAGATTAACACAACTTTACATCTCTACATGAGGTGTTCAGTTAGAAAAGGGGACAATATGTGACATGGGACAACATTTCATGTATGTGAAATACTCAGGTTTAATACCATTCCAGTCAAATTGTCAAAATAAAAAGCTTCATGGATCAGAAAAGACTCAAAATCACAAATTATAGTAAATAGCTTCTCATGTAATCAATGTTAGTTTTCTCAAATCTTAAACAATGTGTAATATAACAGTCCAATGATTGAATGATGAAAGATCATAAACTGAAAAGCCTCAAACATTTGTTTATGATAAAATAAATAATAGTATGGCGCCTTATGGCTACAAATTTTTTGTCCATTGAAATGTATTTGCGGGAATGTAGGATTTCGCTGCCATATAACGGCCACGATTCCCCAAGCATTAAAGAAATCATAGCTAAAGCAGCGTTGCCAAATTGGCCTTTTGGAGGCCAAAGAACTCAAATTTGGCTTCTTTTTTCCTTGCTTGGCCTCAAAAAATAAATTTGGCCATTTGGCTTTTTTTTGGGTTCTTTTTGCTTCCCACAGATTTTTAATGTCATTACTACTAAGTTTCACAGTTCTTTCACAAAAGATAAACGAAATGGTTCCATTTTGTCACTACTTCTCAGGCTCTTTGCTCCAGTCATAGGCTCATAGCATCATTATAATTTGAACATGGCAGCAAAATGGAAAGCATCATATGAATCTGGAAGAAAATATACCAAAACTTGGGAGAGCAAATTTATCTGGCTTTCGAAAGCATCAGATGGAAGTGAAGATGGGTATTGTAAGCTTTCCATACTCAAATAAAGCCCAAACTATCAAATTTGACAAAGCACGAAAAGAGTGATAAGCACGTGCAACGCGTGAAAGCTTCAACGTCAGTAAGGCCAATTCAAGTTGTGCAAAACCCAACTATCGCCGACGAAGTAAAACGTAAAGAAATTGAGCTAGATGTGACAATGGCGTGTCATTCTTCTATTCTAACCATGGATCATCTTGGGGAGATTATAGCTCGAAGTGCAACGGGAAGTAGACTCGAAAACAAAAAGATACATCGTACGAAATGCACAAAAATTCTTACCAATGTAGTCAGTCCTGCGCTGAAAGAAGAATTAATTTGCTAATGTGAAAGGAAAGAAGTTCTCTTTAATCGTCGAGGAGACTACCGATGTTTCTACAGCCAAACAGCTCTGTGTCATCATTCGGTATTACAGCAGTGTGGAGAAGAATATCGTCACAGCCTTTGTGGACCTGGTCAATGTTGCTCGTGCTTGTGCAGATGACCTTTTTATGCCACCCGAAATTGCCTTCGTGAAATTGACCTTGAATTGGTTGACTGCATTGGGTATGCCAGTGATGGTGCTTCTGTTATGGTCAGCAAACATGACTCACTGTGGACAAGGCTTGAAGCTGTTGCCCCGAATTGCATCAAATTGACGTGTATCTGCCATTCGTTGTCGTTATGCGTCCAACATGCTTTTGAAAAGCTTCCATCTCGCCTTGGATTCCTTCTAGCAGAAATTCCAAAGTGATTTTCCAAAAGCACTATACGACGCGAAGCACACAAGTTACTTTATGAAATAATGAGTCCCGATGACGACCAATTACCACCATGTGAGAAGTATTCAGCAACACCTTGGTTGGTGAGAGGAAAGTTGATCTTCCGTCTTTTGGCTAATTGGAACGAGCTCCAAGCTTATTTTGCTGTATCGAAACCAGCAAGTACACAGAATGCCCGTTACAAAGCACGTACCCTTTTGGACATGCTCAATGATTCAATTGTCTATCTATACTTTCATTTCGTGTCGCCTCTAGTCACTGATTTCGAACGAGTAAATGCATTCTTCCAAGCTATCGATTTCGATCTCGAAGAGATGTTCTCTGAATTGGATACACATCATAAGTCTCTGCGTGGAAGAGTTTTCGACATACAAGGCAAGCAACTCGCCATTGAAAGAGTAGATTTTGGTGGGAAGTTCTTATGTTAAGCAACAAAGTATGGAAGCAACAAAGGTTGTTGCTCAAGCTAAAATTCTTCATTTGAAAAAACGATGCTTAGATTTTCTTATCGAAGCTTTAAATCAAGTTGAAATGCGTCTACCTGCCACAAAAAAACATATTCAAAGGATTAAGCGTCCTTCATCCAAGAAAAGTATTAGATGAAGCAACCAGAGCTCCTTTATGTCAGCTGCCACTTCCACATCTACGATATGAGAAACTCAACGAGATCGAAGAGCAGTACCGGAAGATCGTTCACCGTGACTGGAAAGAAGATTCAACCTTTGATGGAACTATTCCAGATACAGCGGCTGCATTTTGTTCATGCATCGTCGACTTTCAAACTTCACTCGGAGACAAGCCATTTGAACAGTTAGCAACGTATGCTTTGAACTGTCTCACTGCTCCCGTAAGCAATGCTGTGGTGGAGAGGACATTTTCCCTGTTAGCATCAATCAAGACTAAACAGCGCAACAGAATGAAACAAGTGTTGATGAAAGCCATAATTCGCATTCGCTCAAAGCTTCAGTTTGGAGAAAATTGCTGCGTGGACTTCAAGACAACCAGGCGAAGTTATTGTCAGTCATAACTTTATACCTGCATGTCATTATTATTTAATTTACTTCCTATTACGAGCCACATTCATGATTCCTGATTGACCAAACTCTTGTTTGATGATTTTTGCCAAGCTTACAGGGGGGGAGGGCACAAATCCTGCGTTGCTGGTTGTTCTAGAAATTTGGCCTCATTTTCTACCGTGTTTAGCCTCGAGCATGCGCAGGAACCTGACAACCCTGGCTAAAAGTCCTTCGGCAACAACAATTTTAGAAGCATTAATCTGCTTACCATACGCCATATTGACATAAATCGCAGCACACACTCGCATAAATTGACTTTGACATTCATGCATACACTTCAGTTGTCCTTTACTTACGATTTTGGATGTAAATTTCTGCTGATAAAACTCAAAACAATGTTGGCTTTCTTTTGAACATCAATGACTGAAATGTCGCTCGCGAGATCGTCTTTGCCAAGCATTTACAATTTATCCATAAATTTTTCACCCTCTTGAAAAAATTCACAAATTGGACAGCAGCATTCATGTTAATATATGAATTTGTAAAATATTTCGATAAATTCCATCTGATTGTAGTTTAGTTTCTATCATGCTTAAGAAAATTACTATGAAACGATCAAACATTCAATTCAGACAGTGAGTTTGACTATGTTAGTTCAGTTGGCTATCAGTCAAAATCGGTCAAACCAATCACAGTAAGACAAAAATTTAAACGAACCAATTACACGATAGCAATTGGACTCCCTTATAGGTCCGGCCACCCCGCTTATCGGTCAAGATTATTCCAGATCGTCCACTGATATGGCTATTGACCAATGGAATGGCTTGAATAAGCGTTCTTGAACTCCGTTATCAGTGGAACCAGTCGAGCCATCCCGCTTATCACTCAGCCAGTTAATACAATTCTAGATATGTTTTTATCTACTGATCTGTTTACTGAGGTGGTATTTGTATAAGTTTTCATACATAAAACAGAATTTTGACGATGAAATCCAAACGATTACAGAACGAAAATTTAATGATAAAATAAATTGTAATCATTAAATTTGATAAATAATTTATGAACTATAAACATATGTCGCGTGACTGATTTGACATACCCTTGATCCGCCCCTGATACAAACAAAATATTTTTACTGTATAGCGTTGCATGAACTGATAACCCTTCGTAAAAGCTCAGAAACGATATCTCTGACTATTTGAGCTTCGGACGCGACGCTTGACTGTCCTTGAACTATTTCCACGTTCACACACAAAAATAAATCCAACAACACAATAAAACGATGAATAATTTGAAAGTATTTGAAATACTCCAGCTAATAAACTTGTGCACGACCGAAGGAAAACATTTGTCGATTGAGCATGCGTACGACGCAATGCAGCGTTATATATTATAAATAATTCATGTTTTGGTCGTTGTCGACCATTTTGAGAATATATAATTTGGTCGTGCTGGCCTGACTAGAGCACGACATAAAACGGGCGAATGCCGTCCCACGTGGTTTTAGGCAATGATTAGGGTAGATGTCGGGCAAAAAGTCATATAATGTAAGTAATATGAAGTATTTCAAAATGCAAATGAAGCATTAGAAATAGATTTTTTTTCGCTAATAGCTGTCAACATTATAAACAAATATTGAAATTTTAATGTGTTAAGTAAAAAGCCTTAGTTTGAAAAATGGTTGGTTGTGCTCAGCACGACCAGCACGACCTGTAGCTACGCCACTGACTACATGCCACGATCAAATTTGCTGACGGGCGCAAGGGGGTGTGCCACCCCCAAACATCAGATTTCACCTCCCTAAATAAATTGATCACTCCTCTACAAAATATTTTAACCCCCTAAAATTTTAAGCCAAGCAAATCAGTAGTACAGTTCAACTGAGTTTTTCTGGGCGTTGTTTCAACTTTCTTCACTACCCTTGATGGCTGCACCTGACCTCCCCTAAAATTCAGACCCTTAATTTGTCTTATGTTACTTCCTTACCAGCTCACCCCCTAACATTTTTAGCAAATATGAAAATCTGTCCATGCTACATACGCTCTTTTTCTATAGTCAACAATGCTGGTGTTGGTATGGTGGGGGCTCTAGAGTGCCAAAGTATGGACAGCATCAAGAATATTTATGAAACTAATGTTTATGGTGTGATTCACTGCATCAAGGCAGTGTTGCCATCTATGAAAAAGAAGGAAAGTGGCCAAATAATTACAGTCAGTTCTGGGGCCGGAAGATTTGGTGTGCCATTGTGTGCTGCCTATTGTTCATCAAAGCATGCTATCTCTGGTCTGACAGAATCTTTGGCACCTACTCTCAAACAATTCAACATCAAGTAAGATTTATTTGTTATTAATGCCATTCCATTCGACAATACATATTCAATCTTCAAAACTTTAATGTTTAGTAAACAGTTGAACACATTACCAACATTGATTTAAGAAATAAAAGATGTTTACTGTGTGTACACTGGCTTATGCAAATCGAGGAGACCTTCTGGGAGAACTTGAGAGCTGATTAGTGCAATCCAAAGACGGAAGGTTGAGGGTTTGCATCTGCTCAAGAGTTCTCACAAAAGGTTTTTTCACTTTCCATTATGATTTCCATCATAAAATGACAATAGTGTGAAACTGACAAATTTAAAACAAATGTTTTCGTTTTTCGTTTAACATGTATTCAATATTCATGATTAAATTGCAAATTCTCTTTCATTGATTTTTATTGATCGAACCCAGAGGCTAATTCTAACACAGCCCAACCAGCGTGCGCGTGTTGTGTTGTTTCTATTCAAATTTAAGTTAGCGCAAAGTTTAAGCTACAATTTTCCGGTTTTTATTCGTCAGATTCTGTCTAATGATAGCTGAAATTGATATTAAATTGAAATATTTCAAATATTAGTTCCAACTTAAATTTGAGTTTCCTAGATGTCGTTTCGGATGATGTTTTATTGTATATGAAAGCATTAAATACGTACGTACGATCTTATGATGTCTTTAGTATATCAGTGGTTGAGCCTGGCCCTGTGTCTACAGAGTTTACCAACACCGTGAGAAGCATTGGTTTTAGTGGAATTGAAGATGGAGACGAGAAAACAAAAAAGTTAGTGGAGAGCTTCACTTCATCTATGGATAAGATTGTTACAAAGGCTCAAAAAGGTGAAGAAGTTGCCGAGTGTATTCAGAAAGTTGTTGAAACCGAGATTCCTAACGTTTATTACACCACAAGTCCTGCATTGGATGCAATGACTGCGAAAAAATATGTTGATATTACTGGAAACTCTTTCCTTACATCCTTTCCACAATACCTTAAGTAATTTCAACTTTTTCTACGATCTAGAACTCTATGAGAGAGTGATTAAGAAATGGTGTGATTATTTGAAAACTCAATTAATGAAACTGTACGTTTGTACGCTCGGAATTTAAATTGGTAAATCTTTCGGAATAGGTATGTTTTGTGGAGCACTACTATCGTACTATGTGGCAATTTACTCAAAGATTTAGAACTCAATCCTTAGATGGTTAACTAGCGTGTCAATGTGAGGCAAAGGCCGTTGTTTCAAAAGATGCCAAAAAGCAAAACTGAAAACAAATTAAGTTTACATGAAAGTATAAAAGCCGAATCCTATCTCTATCAATTATCCAACATTTAAAAAACCAAATTTAGACCATCAACTCCTCAACTGTATGTCAATTCAGGAAAAGCTAACATTAAGCCGGATTTCAAATTGCGAATTTTTTCTCTCGAAGCGATAATCTTGATACTAATTCCATGTTCTACATACACCAATATACACAGGAAACCCTATGGAATCTCTTTATGAGACGTCATCTACTGATATACCCCGTTATCAACAGTCATACTCTGTAATCAACAGTCATACCACGTAATCAACTGCCATACCCTGTCATATACTGTCATACCACGTAATCTACCGTCATACATAGTGATCTATAGTTATCTATAGTCATCTAAAGTCATCTACAGTCATTTACAGCCGTCTACAATCATCTACTGTCATCTACATTCATCTACTATCATCTACAGTCATCTACTGTCATCTACAGTCATCAACATTCATCTACTGTCATCTACATTCATCTACTGTCATCTACAGTCATCTACTGTCAACTACTGTCATCTACTGTCAACTATAGTCATCTACAGTCATCTACAGTCATTTACAGTCGTCTACATTCATCTACTGTCATCTACATTCATCTACTACTATCTACAGTCATCTACAGTTATCTACAGTCCTCTACATTCGTCTACTGTCATCTACATTCATCTACTGTCATCTACAGTCATCTACTGTCATCTACTGTCATCTACTGTCATCTACAGTCATCTACATTTATCTACTGTCATCTACTGTCATCTACAGTCATGTACAGTCATCTACATTCATCTACTGTCATCAACAGTCATCGTCTGTCATCTACAGTCATCTACTGTCATCTACAGTCAACTACTGTCATCTACAGTTATCTACAGTCATCTACAGTCATGTACAGTCATCTACATTCATCTACTGTCATCTACACATACTGTCATCTACTCATCTACAGTCTACAGTTCATCTACAGTCATCTACAGTCATCTACAGTCAACTACTGTCATCTACAGTTATCTACAGTCTACAGTCATGTACAGTCATCTACATTCATCTACAGTCATCTACAGTCATCTACTAGTCATCTACTGTCATCTACAGTTATCTACAGTCATCTACAGTCATGTACAGTCATCTACATTCATCTACTGTCATCTACTGTCATCTACTAGTGTCATCTACTAGTGTCATCTACTGTCATCTACAGTCATCTACAGTCATCTACAGTCATCTACATGTCATCTACAGTCATCTACAGTCATCTACAGTCATCTACAGTCATCTACAGTCATCTACAGTCATCTTCATCTACTGTCATCTACAGTCATCTACAGTCATCTACTGTCATCTACAGTCATCTACTGTCATCTACAGTATCTACAGTCATCTACAGTCATCTGTAGTCATCTACAGTCATGGGCTCGAGCCACGTTCGCCCAGTGAACCCAAAATTTAAATAACTGTAATGATGACCGAAGCCAAAAATTGAAGCCAAAAAATATATTTGTCGTCATCATTCTTCATCACTCGTGTTTCTCGAGTGTTTATAAACAATTTGCATTTTTTCGAATCCTAGATCTTTAGTTTGACCTCAGTTGATTTCATTTTACTAGTCAGTTTTATCTTCACAAAGAAAGTCTTTTGAATTATACTTATTTCAATTCTACATCATCCTCAGTGCAAAAGTATTATTACGTTTTTCAAATAAACTAAAAGGATTTGTTGGTATGAATTTTTATTCGACAAAATTTACATATAGAATGAAAACATCTTTAATATAGCTACTATATATTTTTGTCATACACAATCCATCTGCTCTTAAGCTGCGGTTTTCCTTTAAAACATATCAAAGTCTTTAAGGATATTCAATTATTGATAACGAGATGACAACCATTTAGTATTTCAAGCACTATCAAAATCGATGAAAATGACAATCGCTCTGTAAAAAGTAGAAATGCGAGTTAAAGACTCAATATTTTTTATGAAACTGGATATTCAAGTTTCTTTTTTCTTCGGAAAGACATATCTTTATACCCACTGAAATGACAAAAAAAGACAAAGACTGTCTGACACCGTTTGAAATTTTACCTTCCGATGTGAGAAAATTTTTGCTTGAATATTTTCTCGTCATATTTTCTTATTGTATTGTCTTTTTAGCATACAGTGTAATTTTCAGTTGGCTTTTCCTCGTTACAAGTTGTAAGTTACAACGAACTCACTGTAGTAAAGTTTCAGCTGTAAAAAAATCCTTTAGCGAAGAGTTGGCCTCGTGTGTTGTTTGTCGTGATGTTGCTTATATGTTTATTCTTTTGTAATTTGTATTCAAATTTATATTGGCCGTGAAAGTTTGGCAATCAGGGGAATGAAACTGACGTACAAACCCCGTGAATATTTGACTTTGAAGGACTGGAACTGATCTACAAACCGCGCAAGAGACTAGGACTTAGGCTTCAATTTTATATCCATAAAATGTATTGTCGTTATCATTCCAGATATATATTATATATATATGGAGTTCACTGCTTTCGCCACGGCCTGGATCCGCGCCTGTTTAGGCTGGCATTTTATTTCCAAGTTAGCAGTTTTTAAAGTAAATGGTTTGAACCTGGGAGTATCGTTATATGTTTGTATATGATGATTGTCCAGGTTAATAAAGTCCTGAGAAGGACTGTTTTTGTTGTTGTTGATTTTTTTTTGACTCTGAAGATGACTACCGCTAAGGTTGTCGAAACGTCAGTTAACAACAACAAAAACAGTCCTTCTCAGGACTTTATTAACCTGGACGATCATCATATAGAAACATATTAGCAGTTTTGCAAAACAATCCGTCACGCAAATAAAACAGTCCACGCGAGATACACGCGAAGCGGCAAATCAGCTTCTAAGTGGCTTCAAACAAGTCTAGGTTTGTTTATAATGAGTTAGCCTTCCATTTGTTGTAGAGTTCATTGTTTGGAACTGAGATTTTTATCACCATGGAAACAGACATCACCGCACTCTATAGATATTTCGAATACATATACATATTATGCATATTATACATATTGCGAATATATATTATACATATTGCGATGGATAATGTCGCCATTTTGAATCGAATGCCGCTTGTTTGGAACTGAGATTTTTATCACCATGGAAACGGACGTCACCGCACTCTATACATACAATACAATGACGTAAGAACCAGATAACAAATACGGCTAACCTGACGTTTACTCCTCATTTGACTCTGAAGATGACTACCCCTAAAGGTTGTCGAAACGTCAGTCAACAACAACAAAAACAGTCCTTCTCAGGACTATACCAACCTGGACGATCGACATTTACAAACATGTAACAATACTCCCGGGTTCAAACCATTACTCTCCGTAGGTTGAGCCATAAAAGTGTCATCTTTCCTCGTAAAAGCATCTTCGACTCGATCAGTGAAAGATGCCATTCTTCTCATTAATATTGTTGGTTTTGAAGCTCAAGATAAAACCTCGGCTATCAACAATCTCAAATCTGTGCTGAATTTTGCACAACACCGCTTAAACATTTCAGCAAAAACGGCGGTTCGTTATTCAACACAACGGCAATAAACCAACCAAGAGACAGATTTTAGTCTCCAAATTCAGCACAATTTTAGGCGTGCTAACTCTGTGCGGGTTAGCTATGGGTATTTCTCCCGCAAGTGAATTATAAGTCTTTTTAGCCACTTGATCCCTTAATCCCATGCTTAATCCAGGTGTTGGAAACAATAACATTGCTCAGTGAATGCACGTTGTTGCACAAATTTCTCATAATACTATCCCTAACCCTGACAATAGTTTATTTTTCTAATGCTTTCGTTGTGAGGACACAAAAAATTTAATTGATTTTAGGATAAAGAATTCATGATCATTATCCACACAACGATACAAACTACACCATACCGAGACGAGATTCGAACCGGCAAATGACGCATAGAAAATTACTCTTGGTCCTTTCGATCAAACGAGCTTCGTTCTACCCCATTGAGCTCTATAATAACTGGAGGGGAAAAGGGGCCTGGGCCTCGTGGTCAAAAACATGGCGGTAATGGCGGATTTTGGTTGTCAAAACTTCCACTTTGAGAAAAATTTTTAACATTCGCTCCCTCCCGAAACAGATCTCTATTACTGCTCATAGTAATGACAACCAGCGAAAACAACCACGATACCGTAAGCATAAAATATTGAAAATAATGCTTCAGGTTTTTGTGAAATAGACACACACATTTAAATGAAGTAAATCTACTGTAAAATAGCGTATATGTTTTCAAGTAATGCTTTAGCTATATTAGAAATAAATATCAAACGGCAATCTTTACACTGTCAATGTGTTGTTAAGCTTTAATGCATAATCCCATGCGCAATACTTGTGTTTTTGACTGTTTGTGAACAGCTTGGTGCAACTGTCTTTCTTGAATAGATGGAAAATCTTAGTTAAAATGTCCAAAAGGAGTTAGAAAAGTTAGCTTACCCTACGACTTAAGTCGACTGGAAATATATTATAAGTAGGTATGTAATTTTTTTGAGTTTTTTTTGGTAGGATTGATTCTGGGTGTCTTATAAAGTATTATGATATTCTGATAAATCTACTGAGAACTTATGAGGAAAATATCTTGAACTAGGAGAGCAAAAGAACGAAATTCAGAAATTCTATAATCATGTTGCTGGTTCTGTTTTGAGCCAAGATATTAGAAACTGGATTGTTATTGACAACCATGGATCTACTACTGAACAGAACTACATTAATTTCCCATTGAAAATACTATTTCTTAAATCAAAGTGCATTGGTTTCTCTGACATAACACTTTTCTTATTGCTGCATGAAGGCAAACCTGTTTAAATAATTATAATGTAGGTGAAGATATTTAGCATGTTGTATAATTGTTATTATACAGACATTATTTATAATATTGTGGCTTTGCGTAATGTATGTCAAGAACTTATTAATTCTCAAAAATGCTAACCTTCTTGCACTACTTTTCTTTTGTGTCCTTACAAATTACAGTTACCTATACTAATTTTTTCTAGGTTCAAACAACTTGACAAATTTTTGAATTTCACATTATGTCTTTGAATTTTTCTTTTTGTCTTTTGGTAAAAATATCAGTGAATGACTTAAAAATCAAGTTTATCTAAAATAGTATTTTGTACAAAGTAACTATACATAATTGGAAAAGTCTCATGTTGAAGACAGATGTCGCTTCTTTTACTAGATTGCTACTCTTATTCTTTTAAATGATATCGTAATTGTTCAAAAGACATAAAAAGTTCTTTGCCATCAATTTTTGCTTCTTCCACATTCAACTTCATTGCAACCAATGCATCTTATGTGAATTTTTAATCACCTGGAATTGAAAAACATATGGACTTTGTCAGATGATGCAGTACTGTATTTAATGTTTCATGCATGTCATGATAAGCTTTTCTTGAGCAAATATTTCAAGGTAGGAGCAAAATTTGGCACATCATTGAACAAAGCAGTTTTTATCTTGATTTTGACGTACTAACCTGTTTACTACACTGTGTAACAAACAATTCATTTACAGAAACACCAGATGGCATTTATAAAACTTTTAGCATAAAGCAAACCTTTACACACCATCATCATGATTATCCATAATCTGTCAAATTGTCCAGGCTAGCTGTTTAATACAGGTATTTTTTATTGTACGACATGTACCAAAGAGCTCATTAATTAATCCTGCACTGCATTTGATTTCAATACAGCTCTGTCCTTAATATTTGCTTAATATTTTCAGAAAAATATCATGAAAAAATCCTCCATTTCAACTCAGTTGAAACAAGGAGTTTTAAGATAGGCATATCTCGATAAGAACTGGTTGCTTTGCCTCGTCTAGCAAGCGACTAAGTAAAGAACAAATAAGACTGGACATACATAACTTAAATTTTAACCTAGGAGGAAAAACATTCACAAAATATATACCATCACACTTCAAGTATTGACTTAAAACAAAATACTGAACACTTTAAATGGTAAACAATCTTACGTTGCTTACCGGTGTCATGAAATGTTTCCTTTTCTGGCATTACTTCAGCATCCGTATACCAAACAAGTTTGCAGCATGTTTTAAAAATAAAATTTCTAAAAGTTTTTGTGCTTGGCATTGATATTTTATATAATCGCAACTGTGGTTGTCAAATCCGGGTGGGCGAAAAAAATTTTATTTTATGAGCCCGCGTCTTTCCGCTGACTTTGACAACCAAAATCCGCCATGTTTTTGACCACGCGGCCGCGCGCTGATAATTTATAGTAATTTTGTTGACGTTTCCCCTCCAGTTATTATAGAACTCAATGTTCTACCCCCTGCAAATTGTTTTTATTTTCCACTAAGGGCATTTAAAATTTGATTAATTCTTTCCGCTGTTGTGCAGAATTTAACTACGTCACGTGCTGAATGTGACGTAGTTTCAATCCGCCCCTGAGCCTAAATGTTTTATTTTTTTCAAAACCGTTAGCAAAATTTGGTTATTAATGTGTTAAGATGCTTTGTGGACGTTCCAAGACATGTTTTGTATACGCTGTATTATATAAAACGCTGTATTATATAAAACATAAAAGGGAGAACTTGCTTCGAAATATGAATTTCTCATTTGTCGTCGAAAGACCAAAAATTTAAGACAAAACTGATAACAGGTAGTCTGTATCTTTGAATGCTGTGCAAAATACACACAATACACTTAATATAACATGTTTCATAAC